CTGGTGAGAAGGTCTCATCATAGTCAACTCCCGGAGTTTGAGTAAAGCCCTTCGCAACCAGTCGTGCCTTATAAGTGTGTACTTTCACATCCATGTCGGTCTTCTTCTTGAAGATTGATTTGCACCCGACTGTCTTACGACCGGTACATTATCAACCAAGTTCCAAACTTGATTGTCATACATGGACTGAATCTCGCTGTCCATAGCCTCCTTCCATTTGGCATACTCAGGGCCTGCCATGGCTTCCTTGAAGTCTTTAGGTTCATCCAAATTTACCAGTGTACTATCACTGATAAAATCATCACCTTCTGTAGTAATATGGAAACCATAATAAAAATCAGGTGTGCTCCTAACTCTTGTGGAACGCCTCAGAGGTACAGACTCATCAATCAACAACGGAGGAGTTTCCTCCTCCTCAGGTTGATTGCTAGTGTTTGAGGTTCCTTCACCGCTTGACTCTCGAATTTCTTCAAGGTCAATTTGTCTCCCACTGTTTTCTTGGCTTATGAGTTCTCTCTCACGAAAGACTTCTCTCCTCGCCACGGAAGACAACATTGTCACTCGGTATGTAGAAGAGATAACCAAAAGATTTCTGTGGGTAGCGGATGAAAATACACCGCTCACTTCGAGGTTCGAGCTCGTCGTGAGTCTCGCGCCTCACGAAAGCCTCGCAACCCCAAATCTTGATGTGGTCTAAAGTGGGAATTTTCCCAGTCCACATCTCGTGAGGTGTTTTGGCAACCTTCTTGGTAGGGACTAGATTAAGGATATGGGCAGCAGTCTCTAAGGCATACCCTTAGAATGAGATTGGTAATGAAGCTCGACTCATCATGAAACGAACCATGTATAACGAGGTTCGATTGCACCTCTCTGCCACACCATTCAGATGTGGTGTCCTAAGAGGTGTCAATTGTGAAACATTTCCACATTCCTTAAGATAGTCAAGGAACTCGATACTAAGATACTCACCACCTCGATCGGATCAGAGCATCTTTATCTTCCTGCCCAACTGATTCTCCACTTCTTGTTTAAACTCTTTGAATTTTTCAATGGTTTCTAACTTATGCTTGATTAAGTATATATAGCCATACCTACTGTAATCATCAGTAAAAGTCATATAGAAGCGGTTAGCATCCCTTGTGGTGGTTCTAAAGGGTCCACACACATTTGTATGTATAAGGTCCAACAAACCTCCACCCCTAGCACAAGTACCAGTGAAGGGTGACTTAGTCATTTTTCCAAGTAAACAAGATTCGCAACTAACATCTGACATTAAGTCAAATGACTCCAAGACTCCAGCCTTTTTGAGTTGGCCTATGCGCTTCTTGTTGACATGTCCAAGACGACAGTTCCACAAGGATGCCTTATCCAAACTATTTGAAGAATCAATATGCAATACATTATTTCCTAAGTTGTCTACAACCGACACATTCATATACACCATCACAAGGTAAACGCTTTAAATAAAAAAACACCATTATAAAAGGCATTAATACCACCACATTCATTATCAAATGAAAAAGTAAATCCTTGTTTGTACAAACCATGGAAGGAATAATATTTCTCGCCATTTCAGACGAGTAACAACATTTATTCAATATAATATTAACCCATTACTAAGCAATAAAGAAAAAGATAAACTCCAATCCTCACTTTCTTTTTAGGCCCTGCAAATCAGAACAAATGTGAATTCCACACCCTGTATCAAGGACCCAAGAATTAGTATGTAGTGAGTTATTAGACAATCTAGTGTAAATACCTGCATGGGTGGGTTTCACTTTCCCATCCTTAACATCTTGCAATTACTTGGGGCAGCTTCACTTCCAGTGCCCCTTTTTCCTGACAGTAGAAGCATTGTGCATCCTTCGGGTTGGAAGAGGGAGTGGAAGAACCTCTTTTAGTTCCACTCGAAGAGGAGTCGTACCCTTCGAAGGGGTCTTCCTCTTTTTCCCTTTGCCTTTCCCGATTTCCAGAACAGGGGCGGTGGTAGGAGGTGGTAACAACATTCTTACCTTTGAGACTACTTTCAGCAGTCCTCAAAAGTCCTTGAAGTTTGCTAAGTGTGACCTCCTCCTTGTTTATATGATAGGTCATGCGGAACTGATCATAACAGGAGGGTAGGGAGTGTAGAATGATATCTATTTCTAACTCCTCATCAAAGTTCACATTTAACTTTAGCAAACGGTCCACGAATCTTTGCATTTTCTGCAGGTGGCCCGTGATGGACTCTCCATCCTTCATTTTTGTTTTTATCATGGAGGCGATGATTTCATACCTTTCCTGACGAGCACTCTGATGGTATCTTTCCATCAGGTCCTGGTGCATCTCATAAGGGTAGAAATTTTCATAGGATTTCTGGAGTTCTGCTGTCATGGTAGCCAACATGATAAAAGATACCTTAGTCGCATCCTTCTCATGGGTAGTGTACTCAGCAATCTCCTCTAGAGTAGCATAAGACTCATCAATAACCTTTCGCTCGTTATCAAGGACATACTCCGTGTCCTCGTAGCGAGTGACCATCCTTATGTTCCTAATCCAATCATTGAAATTAGTCCCATCAAAGATAAATCTCCCACAAAGATTCATGAGAGAAAAGGAACCAGTAGGGTTTGAGCCAGAAGCATTGTTGGAAGACATCTGAAAAGAAAAAGGCAAGTTTAGATTAGATATAGAGTCCTTAATAAGACACCCAAATGAAATACTAAGGCTAGGACCCAACACAATATTTTATAATTTGGAAGAGGGATGCTGTAATCCAAGCTACAAAATATTTGAAGGTAGGTAAATGACGATTTACCAATTTCCACCATGAAAAACAAAACAGATTATTAAGTTTTTATTGGATTGAAACTCCTAGATCTTTTGAGATTCATTGAACAATTCAATGGCATGTTTAAATCTCGATTATGCCCTTCAAGTTTGTGACTGGGATACCGAGGATCATAAACAATGTGTGAATAACCATGCAAATTAACTTGTTACTCTTAATTTTATCACCTAATCGATGTGCAGGTTAACCACACACGCTCCACCGATCTATGATAAACCTTAAGCTACCCTTTGCCACCCTTACTAGTCCATGTTAGTGTTTCGGTTAACCACACACGCTCCACTAATGACTTGGTAAGGTGCAAAGTGTAATTTCATGTGTTATTATCAAATTCACATTTTCCTAAAGTAACTAAGATTGGGAATTTATAAAAAGGTTTAGTTAATTTATATTTATCATTATACTTTTAATGAGAATTATAGTCTTTATCCTACCCGTTCGGCTAACGACCCTCCACCAGTGAAGGAAGCGGTGGGTGAGAGTGGACACCCATTAAGCTGCCATTTTATAGGCAGCAACCTTATACCCCCCTTATAGACCAGCTTCAATGAATGAGGCCTACTAACGGTAAGACTGACTTTTCATAATACATATATATATATATATATTATATATATATATATATATATATATATATATATATATATCATATATATAATTATTAGACTTTTAATAATTTAATAGTATAAGGGTTGAAGTTTAAACTTTTAAAATTGTAGGGTTTGGAATAAAAGTATTCTAAAGTGACTTTACAAATTCAAAAACTTGAGGGTAAGTTTACAAACTATTCAAAACCTTTCATTTCTATAACTTATGAGTTTTAATGATTTTAATGGAAAAGACTCTTGGAATTCCATAACTTGAGGACAAGTTATGGAGTCCATTAAAACGCATTTACATCAACAATTAAACTAACAAGCATTTCAAATAATTTATATGATCTAACAAAACTCATAAGCATGCATAACTCATATCAACAATTTTCACGAATCATATATACTTAATATAAAACTTGAAACTTTGTCAATTATCTTTGAAATTGGATAAGCACAATCATTACCACATCAAAAACATGTTTAACAATCTAAAAACAGTTCAGGGTAATGATCCTAGTCCAATTCCAGCATTGAAACTTGAAATTCTGCACTCAGAGCCTCCAACTCGTCGAGTGCATGAACCAACTCGACGAGTTGGATGAATTTCAACATGGACTCGTTGAGTCCCCCCAATGGACTCAACGAGTTCACTGAACAGTGAGCAGAAAATCGACTTTTTCAGCAAATAGCATCAAGTATAATTGAAAACAAACCTGGCTCTGATACCACTGTTGGGTTTTGAGCATTCTAACACTCCTATGATGTGCATGCAACCCTAGAAACCTTGGATCTATGTTTTCTCTATTATACTTGCAAACTTTAATTTTTCCAAGGTTTCATCCTAACTAGCATATCATGGGGTATATGTAATACAAAATTTTAGTAGAATGACATACCTTTCTTGTAGCTTTGATTCCTTAAGACTTTGTGAGCCTAGCACCCCAAATGTGATGCCTCAAATTCTTCACACAACACCACCAACAATTGGAATAACTTGAGAGAAGATTATATTGCACCAAAATCAGCTAGCCCTCACTTGTATATCTTAAGTGTCAATTTTGTTAGTATGAGGCTTCTTTCTATAGTGTGCACATTAAGGTTACACCATGTAACTCATGACTTTCCACATTCCTCATGATCTATGGATTTTAACCTCCATGGAGTATCCATGGGTCACCACATGGGTTTATCCCAACATGAAGAACAATGGTTTATAAGCCCACTATATAACAATGAATGAATTACCAAATCAATCGCCATTGATTTTATTAGTCTCGTTTGATCACAAAATCAATTCCAAACTAATTATTGATTAATACTAAGTAAATAATATGATTGCATATTAATATATTAGAACTTATAATATATTAATTAATCATAAATATCTTCTTCTCACAAAAGTGTATCCAAATTGTTCTGATGCCATGTAACCCAAATGGACCATGCTAAATCGGGTCAAGTACATACCAAATATAGTTATGGACTTAGACACCTTATCCAATAATATTAGTAGTTCAAACATATAATAGAAACTGGCATAAAATGATTTTCATTTTTAAATATACTAAGTAAAATCATTCTGCGTCGGTAGCAAGCCGGTGTCTATCAAACCTCTTTCCCTTCAGAAGACCCATATCCATGTTATCAGTATCTAGCATTTTGAAAAAAAGATAGTCATAACTGGTAAGATCGGAGAAGCATTGTAGTATAACTTCCTCGACATTTGGATACGAGTATAAAACCTCTTTCCCTTCAAGTTCTGCCAGATATTTATTTTTCATCTCCAAGCAGGCCCGGTTTAGGCCAAGTTCAATAGCGGTAGATTGAAGGGAGACATTCATGGTGCTGAATTCCTCAGAGTTTAGCAAGTAACGGTTCGAAGATGATATTCCCTCCCTTAGGACCCAGTGAATTTCTTCATACCTCTGTTCGGCTAGGTGTTGGTGAAAAAGAGTCTCCTACTTTGAACTGAAAGACTCAGTTTGCATTTCATCGCAACGGGCTGTTTGATCTCTCAACTTAAGCTGGCACTCGGTGAGACTCTCCCGAAGTTGGCTAATATGAGATTCTTTCTAATAACAGGCCAAACCCTACTCAATTCTGTGGCTAGGGCAGCATAGTAGGAACTCTCCTTGCTAGTTATACTCTTAAGCACAATATTTTCCCTTTGAAGTTCCTCCTGTTATTAGGAATACTGATCCAGCTCCCGAAGAAGACAACCGTTCTTAGCAGAAAGATCGTACCACTCCCAGGCTAACCGTATCTTTTCCCTCTCCAAGGATTTGAAATTCTACCGAATATCCTCTAGAAACTCGGACGCCTTCTCAAATTCAATACGATGCAAAGAGGAGTCAGCAACCCTAGCCTTGCTTCACAGCGAGATCTTATTAATCCAATGTCGATCCTTAAGGATGTGAGTGCGAGCCTTATCCATTCGTTCCTCATCAGTCAAGTCTCTTAATGTAGGAAACTGATAAAATTTGGTACTGGTAAAAGGATGAAGGAAAGGTGGTAATGAGGACGTTATGGACACCAAGACCGGAAGAGACGTTGGTCTAAGGGTTTTAGTACCACCTGTAAATAGATCGAAGTTACTCCTCTAAACAAAAAAAAGGGAATGAGGTAGGGAAAGAATACTTACTTGTTCTGGGAGGAGGTAGAAGTCCAGTAAGAGAAGAATCAGGAGTTGGATCAATAAAATCAGGAGTTGGACCGGTAGAATCAAACTCCGTTGTACCCATGTCAGGAATCAAAGAGTCCAGGTTGATAAGGATGGCAGAATCCGGTATAGGCTCGGTGAAAGAAGGAGTAATGGTAAGAGCACTGGTGGAAATCATAGGAGCAGAAGTTAGTATAGAACCTGGAGGAGAAAAAGAACTCAACACTTTATGTCGAAAAAGGCATTGGGCAAGTTCACTCCTACGAAAGTAAGCCTTGGAAGCCGAACCACTAGGGAGAGGCTTAGCGGGAGTAACGAAAGAGTCTGAATGAAGCCTAGTAAATACACTTGTAGCTTCGGAGGATGCAAGAGGAACCTCAGGAGAAGATAGACTAGCGTCTACCATAGAAATCACTGCAGGGTCGTACGTTACTGAGCACTCAGGGAGAGCTTTTCTAGATGAGGAAAGGTCAGGTGGTGGAAGGTCATGCACGGGGTGTACAACGCCCTGGCCCTAATCAGGAGAATCGCGAGAAGTGTGCATCCTTTTAGGGGAAGATCGGGGAAAACCACCACCAATGGCTGAAAGAGTATGAAGGTATCATATTACGCTTGAGGGGTTCGGTAGAAGTAGCACTAGAAGCTCCTTTCGACGACGAGTACGGAGGAACCGGTAGGGTTTTTCATGATGAGTCACAGAAGACAACAGGGCAGCACCAGTAAATTTTATCGTATTTTTAGTGATAGTTGTATCCCGAATCGCCTCAGACTCACCCCCAGCATCTACATGAGAAGGAGGCTTGGACTTAGTGGCGGATAAGCTACCCCTTTTTACAATCTTGGACCGGTGTTTCCGGTAAAGGCACTCCACCAGAAAAAGATTATCGGCCCTCAAAACGGGGATTACAGTTGTAACAGGAGACCTATATATACTACCTAGGTTCGCCAAGCCTAGAGCTGATTCACCAGGGTCAGACCAAACAAGGTAGTTGGCTATGAGCCTCTTGACTATGTCATGTTGAACATCAGTTATTTTAGGTACAGATTTTGGATCCCGATTCACCAAGTTCCCAAACTGCATAGGCCCGACTATGGCTTATGAACCTTGTAGTAATCAAGGATGGTTCTCAAGAAGGGAAAGGAAGGAAGCCACAGGCACGATATGAAGAAAATAGAGTACACTCCCACACAACCTAGTGGGGGTTAGTGATGGTTGGATTTAGAGATGGAAGTTGAGGGCAGAATCGAGGGGTCTATACGAAAGGATTTGACTAACTCGTTCAATTGATTATGGGTAAGAACTGACAAGGTATTTTTAATTCGGAATCCTTCCTTATCCATGATGAAGAAGTTAGGGATTAAAGAACTCTACGATGGAAAGCAAAGAAATAAATAATAAACAGAGAAGAGTTATTAGGTGAAAGGGAAGCGGTTCTCTTGTCCCCAATTTTATAGGAGGTAGTGGGCGGTTTGAGGTGACAGTTGCGGCGTTATAGGGGAGAAAGACTCAGTCATACAACGGCTAACTCGAATTGCCACTCACCAGTTCTAACTAGGGGACTTAATGAGGTATATACCTGGTTACCGAGGTATGTACCTCTAAACTATATTTGGGGCACCGAGGCATGATTTTCTGAGGCATGTACCTCCAAACCACATTCGGAGGTCCAATACACGATTCGTCGAGCTATGCCTACCACGACTACTGAACCAGGAAAAGTAAGGTTAAGAGAACAATTGTTGTGTACAAGCAACGGGTATACAACTAATAATCCTAAAAAAGATTAGGCCGTACGGCACTTAAGGCCACTAACAGTTCACCAATAACCAACTTACATGGCTGGTGACTCCTCTTTAGTACCATTCTTGTATGTTCGACAACGAGAGCATTTATGAGGATTAGACCCTCGTCTGCACAGTACATTTCGGATCGCCTATTCCCGAGATAAGATGAAATAAAGAGATCCTCGGTAGGTCGGTAATGGTATAAAAATACGACTCAAACCTACATTTACACAAAACATTATTCACTTTATCTTTCCCTGAATTTATCATCGGAGCATTCTCCCGGGAGCCTTCCCGGTGAACGACTCACTTGTGTGTTGTTATCTCAGGATTCATATAATCTACATCACCGATGTTACGGGATCATCAAGGTCCATAATCTGGATACACATCAGATACCTAGAAGGCAGGGAATGAAATTCTTTTCCTTCCTCCTCTCTCCTCTTGTCTTTTTAGTGTTCTAGGGATTTGGGTGTAAAATTCAGAGGCGTGCATACTTTTGGTGCTCGCTTTCCATGGACATTTAAGATCTCAAGAGATTAGCATATTTGATTATGTTAAAGGTATGTTTTGTTACTAATAATTTTGATTATAGTAGGTTAAAAGTTTTGTTTCATAAGTTATGTTACTATTAATAGTGAAAACCCATAGATCTTGTTTTAGGTTACATGTACCCTTAAGTGTTAAGTGAAATTATGGATGTACAATGTAATTGTAACCAAAAAACCCCAATAGTTTTACCATAACCCTATGGTGAAACCTGTTGCACTCCCAATTGTGTAGTTTTTTCTCACTAAGGAGATGTACTTTGCATAGTTCTAAAAGGCCCTTTCCAATTCATTTTGAACCACTTGGATAGGTTCTCACACATGATTAGGCGGTGTTTTATCATTCAAGGACATCCCACTTAATCCATTAAGTGCTCATTGAAAGCTTTATGATCATGATGATCGTTAATCTTTAAATAGAGGGTTAACAAGTCTAGTTTCCAATTGCACATTCTAAAATTCACATACTTTGTTCCTAACTCATTGAATACTTGTATGAATGTTATCAAGTATATAAAACCAACATTAATATCATTGTAAGTACATAAACTAACTATGGAATCCTCATTTCCATCTCTAGAGTGTCAATTCATGTTCATGATAGTCATTCACTTCTAATATGTCAATCATCGTGTAGTTATCCATAGATTTCCTACAATCTTTCTATACATCATGGTATCTTTCTAATTCTCTTCCCATATTGGCACATAGCTTCACATTAGAGTCCATAGGTTTCACAGTATATTTACACTCTAGAATTCCAAATCTTTCTAATAGATCAGTGGCATGTTTCCGTTGATGTAGCCCTATGTCACCATATTCATAGTTTACTTCCAATCCCAGAAAGTGTTTCAACTTCCCAAGATCCTTCATATGAAAACGAATGCTCAAATTCTCTTTCAGTTGTAAAATTTGTTCATCAAGGTTGCATATAATGATTAGATCATCAACGTACACCAATACCACTTCCACTTTGTCTCCAATTTTCTATACAAACAAGCTAGCATCGGGCATGGTCATGGAATACCCATTATATTAACACCCAATTTCTAGAACGGATCGGTTTAGCGCAACAAGGAGTCAAAGGCATGGTTTTTGGGTAAAACCGGGTGTCACGACGTGACTAGAAAGAGATCACGACATGAAAAGTGAATAAATGAAAAATGTATGTTTAACTGAGCTCACGACATGAGACACTAGTACTCATGACGTGAGATGGGTTGTAGCCCAAGCCCATGAACTTTTAACGGTTTCCTCCGTATTTAACCCCATAAACTTCATTTTAGGGTTCATTATCAGCCTCCTTCATCCTCAAACACAGAAAACCCCTAACCCTAGACTTTCCTTGTTATTCATGAGTTTTTGGTGTCTTGAAGAAGAAGGGATCACATTTGGAGCATAGATCTAGCTTGGAAGCTTCATTTCCATCTTCTAGCAACATCCCTGGACCATTGTGAGTAACCAAGATTTAAGCTTTATGATTCCTTGTTTCTAGATCTAGGATTTTATGCATGATTATCCATGGTTATATGAGTTAGAGTGTTGGGACTCCATAAAGTTAGCAATTTTATGCATCCTTAGAGTCCCTTGGTGATTATATGTGGTGGATCTGATGTTTGGGTGATGTTTGAGCTCATGCTTGAGTTTTGATCTTCTTTTCTTCATAAATTCCCTAATTTGAGCTCAAGTCTTTCATTGGACATGAAAGACCATAAATCATCGATTTTTATGGACCTTGGGGTGGTAGGGAGCCTTATGGAGAATATGGATTAGTGGATTAATGGATTAACGAGTTTATTCATCAAAATGGAATTCAAACAGTTCTCACGACGTGAGACAATGCCTTTCACATCGTGATGATTAAAGGTCACGAATATTTTGTCTTTTAGTGGTGCATAACATGACCAATGGATTGTCATGTAGTGAGGGGTCGTTAATAGTCGACTTTTGTTGACCGTTAACCATTGACTTTTTGACTATGTTGACCTTGTCAAACTTGAAGGTTTTGGGATGTTGATTAAGCTTCTTCCATGTTTTCGTGCTAGAGGGATCGTAGGAACAAGAAATGAAGAAAGGAGAGCAGGTCGTAGTGTTTCTAGGTTCTTCGATCCACGTGAGTTTTCCTCACTGTACCCGTGGGTCGAAGGCACCAATGCTGACCCACTAGTTTTGGTTATCATTTAGTAGAGGGATGCACTAGGGACTATATGTAGTCACTTAGGATAGACTGATGACTCTTTATCTAGGCTTTCTTGCGTGTTCCATTTTTGTTTGTGGCTCTAGAGTAGGATCATCTATTCGGCTGTCTATCTCACCTCTCGGTACAAATGGTTATGTATCCCTTGGAGAGTTGGTTATGTATCCTTGTGTATAGGATGTTGCTGTGTTTTAGTGATCGCTATATATATATATATAGATATATATATATATATATATATATATATAGATATATATATATATATATATAATATATATATATATATATATATATAATATATATATATATATATTCTTGTGTGTTAGGATGCAGCAGTAGTGGTATGCTGGTTAGAGTACCAATAGATTGGTTATCGTCTAGTGGAGCACCCTAGGGGTTCTTTGTAGTCATGTAGGATAGTCTGAGAACTCTTGATCTAGGCTTTCCTGCATGTTCCTTGTTTGGTTGTGGCTATGGGATATGATCATTCATCGGGTGAATATCTTACCTATGGTTACTTATGGCTATGCATTCCATGGATATTAGCTGGTACTGGAGCGGTGTGGTGTGTGGGGTCTAGTAGGCGGTGGTGAGATGTATGATTGATAATTGCCTATATTATGTGCCTACTTGATCCTTGATTGTTTATATGTCGAAATATAGTGGCGGATGAGGTTGAGGCGGTCCTGTGGTGTGTTGTAGGCCAAGAGAGCAGGTGCAGTCTAGTTGTAAGTCGTAGGCACGGAGGCTCAGGAAGAGCGGTTGGGTTGAGGCTGCAAGCCAACATACTTTGGGAAATCCAATCTAATAACTGTGAGCCTGCATGCTTGTATATGTTCTATTGTATGTGGTATTTTGGGGGAACTCACTAATCTTTGCACTTACCTAATTGTTATTTTTTTTAGGTATCATCGGTTATCGTGGGAAGGCGAAGGCGTGACTGTACACATTCATCAGCAGCAATAAAGATTTCGCGTTTATTATATTACTCTAATTTTCAACAAATGTAAATTGAAACAAATGGTTTTCTCAACATAGAGTTTACAATGGTGATGTTTTACCTTAATAAATTGAAAATTTTTGGTTGTGAAAATGGAACGTTATAGTTATGCTCAAGAAACTCATCGATCTTGACGAACCATGCCCTTGGTGACTGGTTAAGTCCATAGAGGGTTTTATTGAGCTTACACAGGTGACCAGGGCGATTCCTACTTTCAAAACCTCTGGGTTGATCCATGTGTATCACGTGATCAAGATCATCATATAGTAATGTGTTGTTTACATCCATTTCGCAAGGATTGCAACCCATTTTTGTTACTAGGGCTAAGAGAAGACGTATACTGGTCAGTTTGGCTACTGGACTGAAGGTGTCCTCATAATCCAAGCCATATTGGTGAGAGAATGCACGGGCTACCAAACAGGCTTAGAATCTTTCCACCGTACCATCTGCTCGACGCTTTACCATATACACTCATTTACAAGAGACAGGTTTCACACCACTAGGCCTTGGTACTAACTCCCACATTTGGTTTCTCATTAGGGCTTCCACTT